TGCAAGGTCAGTTCGAACTGCAAGGCCAGCCAGCAGTTCAAACCCACCAGCCATTCCTCAGAAATACTATACAGGGTCACTATGAGTCAGAAACGACTGGACGGCACTTAACAACAACAACGATGTCAATTAAGAGTTCTGATATACTGTTTAGGTCCCTCCCTGAGTGGTATAACTTTCAATTAATAACTGAAAGGTTGGCAACATAAGCCGTGCCAAGGAAGAAAAGCCTGGTGATTTATTTCCATAAGATTGTTGTTGTTGTTAAGTGCCATCAAGTTAGTTCTGACTCATAGTGACCCCTGAATAGGGTTTCTGAGGAGCAACTGGTGAGTTTGAACCACCGACCTTGCAGTTCAAACAGTCCTTTCAGTCCAGTGCTTAGCTTAGAGTGTCACACCAGGACTCCTAAGACTACAGTCATGGAAAACTCAATGGAGCACAGTTCTACTCTAACTCAACAACGGAACTGCCACCAGGGACCCAAGATCTTTCCATCTTGATGCTCTGTCATCCATGGGGTGTTGCTTTTCCCCCCACAAATGGCCCCTCATAACTGCAATGGCTGCAGCAGTTTCAGGGGTCACCATGAGTCAAAATCAGCTGGATCACAATGGACTTTTCAGGTTTATACACTACTTGCATTTCACCAATCAATCTGCCTCAACCGTAACTTGGAATTTTCACCCCTGACTCCTTCTATCCCTACCGTGACCTCTCCACAGCAACACTTTCCTAAAGCAAGATAAACTAAGCTCTGCTCCCAAAGCGTTAACGGCAATGTATATGTGGACGTGGAGAAAACAGAAATTCAGAGAATTTGAGGCCATAAAAATCTACGGCTTTGCCTTGGAAAGTCATCTAAATCTTTTGCTTGTGTTACTTCACAGGAAATGATACTATAATCTATTCAAAGAGTTTGCAGTATTTTTGGCCAATCCCAACTACCCACCTCAATCTGTTCATTTTAAAAAGCTTACATGGATTTAAGCATTTGCTTTGAAATGTTATTCATATTGTAAAATATGTAATGAACTATAAATAAATTGGGGAGCGCAGTGGCGCCATACCATAAGCACTGGACTATGAACCACAAAGGCAGAGGTTCAAGACCACCAGCCGTTCCAAGAGAGAAAGATGAGGTTTTCTGCTCCCACAAAAGATTTACAGCCTCAGAAACCCTACTCAGGGTCACTGTGAATCGGAACTGATTCGATTGCACTTAATAACAACAACAATAAATTAATTAAACCATTTAAAAATAGGAATGAAACAGATGGCTAATTAGTGTTATATGAAATAAGATTACCTTTTAAAGAGCCTCTATGTTTGCATTTTCATTGACTTATTAAGAAAAAAAATAATTTTATCATTTTCACATGTAGCTCTACTTTCTAAAATGACAGTTCATGAAACACGCATTGAAATCTGTATGTTCCAACTTCTGCTATAACAAATTAACCTAATCTAATGGCATCAGAGAAAACAAAGTGATTACTTTTACAATTTTGGAGGTCAGATATGCAAAATGAGTCCTGAGGAGTTAAATCAAGGTGCTGTCAGGTTCCTTGTGGAGACTTTAAGAGAGAATCCATTTCCTCGCCTTTTCAAGTTTCTAGAAACCACTTACATGGTCATATCACTCTAATGTCTGCTTCCATCATTTCATGTCCTTCTCTGACTCTCCTGCTTCCCTATGATATGAGCCCTTGTGATTACATTGTAGGACCCACTCAGACAACCATTTCAAATGTAATCACATCACCAAAGGACTTTTTGCAAAGGCTAATTTATTATCACCTCGGCTAGACTGTGGTTCCCAGTGGTTTCACCAAACACTAGACCAGTTGCTATTCCATAATGTAATATAATACAATCACTTTTCATAATGCAATGTAATATAATGTAACCACTCTTCATAATTGTAATATAAGGCTTGGAAGCAGCATTTTGCCTCCTCTTACTACACAGCCAGGAGATCACCATCAGCATCAGTCCAAAGCTAATTCCTGTGAGCCTTCCATCTGACACCAATGTGCAAAAATGGCATCAGCAGGCCCTCCCGCAGCACTCCCCACTCAGCTGGGTTCAATTGTGTATTGCAATGGCTACGTATAACTCATACACCACACTCACAGTTAAGGGTTAATTAGGGAAAGTGTCAGTTATGACTCATAGCAACCCTGCATAGGGTTTCTGAGGAGCTGCTGTTAAGTTTGAACCACCGACCTTGAGTTTCAAACTGACCTTGCGGTCAGTGCATTATTCCACAGTGCCACACCAGGATTCCCTTAGGGAAATTTGTTGTTGTTAAGTGCCACCATGTTGGTACCGACTCATAGCGACCCTATATAAGATTTCTGAGACACTGCTGGTGAGTTGGAAACACCTACTCAGGTTCAAACTGACTTTGAGGTCAAGTGCTTATCATACAGCACCACACCAGTACTCCATTAGCGAAGTTAACAGGTTACAATTCATGGTCAGAAACATTCAGGGCACAGTTCTTCCAGTCAAGACAGCCTCTCCTCGCCATGCCCACAGGCAGGCCTCTCTCTTGGCATTCAAAGCCCCTTAGCCTGGCATCTGCCCTGCTTTGTCAAGGTTACAAAGCTCTTTAAGGGCTGTTAATAAACAGCCCAAACGACATTTCACTTTACTATAATCCTCGGTACAAAGGTGCTCAGCTTTAGCTCTGTGGATGGATCAGCTAAGTTAGCTCCCCGTTAAATGCCCACAAGCACCTCATTCTACAAAGTCACTCAGCTTTCCTGGCTCTGTGGGCTGGGAAGCTCACCATTCTGTCTCATGCTCTGGCTTCCCTGCCATTCCTCAGCTACTCCATTAGTGTCATAACTACAGCTACACAATTGAATGTTTGTTATTGTTGTTGTCAATTGCCATTGTGTCAGTTTCAACTCATGACAACCCTGTATGTACTTTCCAAGAATCAGCTGTTTGGTTTGAATCACTGACCTTGCATTTAGCAGTTCAGCACCACAACAGGACTCCAACTGAATGCTACTCAGTAATAACAAGAAATGAAATGACAGAATGATACAAGACAGATACAAAAGGGTACATACATGGTGTGTGATTACATTTATATAAAGTTTTAGAAAATGAAAACTATAGCAACAAAAGCATATCAGTGGTTGCCTGAGGGTGAGGGCTAAGGGCGGCATGGACAGCAATGGAAGAAACTCTGGTGGTGCAGTGGTTAAGTGCTGGACTGCAAACCAAAAGGTAGGTGGTTTGAACACACGTGGTGGGAGAAAGATGTGACAGTCTGCTTCAATAACGATTGTTGTTGAGTCGGTTCTGACTCATAGTGACCTTGTATAGGGCTTCCAAGGAACGGCTGGTGAGCTTGAACCACTGACCTTGTGGTTTAAACCGACCTTGCAGTCCAGCACATTAACCCGGGACTCCTTTCATGTCCTAATGCCTTGCAAAAAACAGGAAGATTTATGTTTGCTGGGTGAATCAGTTACGCAGATCTAAAGGTCAGTTCATTAAAGAACACTGAAAGTACAGATCATTATTCTGGACCACAAGGTCGGTGGTTCAAACTCACCAGCCACTCTTTGGAAACCCTATACAGGGCACTATGAGTCAGAACAGACTTGATGGCTTTTAATAACAACAACAAAAGTACAGATAATGGTATTAAATACCTCTATTCATGTTTCTTTTGTGCTAAAGATTATAAAGGATGTGGTGTGGCACTGTAGGATCAACACCGGACTGCGAACCACAACGTCAGTGGTTCAAACCCACCAAATGCCTCTCAGTACTCTTATGTAGGGTTGCTATGAGTCAGAACCAACTCAACGGCACTTAACAACAACAACAGAGATTATAAAGTGAATTCCATGTCAAATCATATGCCTTTAAAGGTTTTACCAATTCCAGTTTGAGTTTTTTTTTTAAAAAGAACTTGTTTTAAACTACACAGTCACCCCATAAACAGATACTGCAATTCCCCACTCCATACTTGTTTTCAAGTGCCTATCCTTTCTCACTGCTGACCTAAGAAAGAATCCTCATGAGATGAGAGAAAAGTGATTTGAAAGAATTCATATACAGTAAGATTCTAAATTGGAAGTTTCAACTGATGCACAAAGACAAACTAGATATAATATTCCAGAATAAGGTTCTAAAACAACATCCAGGTGTTCAATGAAATACCACTCCCCACCCCATCCCACAAAAAAATAAAAGAAATCTGACTCTTGAACTTAATTTCTGTTACACTGAAGGCAAAAAGTGGCCTAACTTTAAAGACTAAGATTTTAGAGAAGGGATTTCTTTAGACAAGAGGTCATTTCACCTCAGGTCAAGAGAGGAAGAGCTCAAAATGTGCCTCCTCTTGAAAATTCCAAGAGTGTGACAGACCAGAGAAAGCCAAGCTGTGGTGATCCTGCATCTTCAGAGACTGTCACTGCAGTGTGGACCATGTCCAAGAGGGAGTCAGTGTGGCGTTATCGGAGCACTTGAATTCCAATAACAAGCAACTATAAGAACAAACAGAAAAGGCGTGGCACTGCCCGAAGGCTCACCCAGAGGCAGGGGAAGAATTTCCCATGTGTATAAATTATAAAAATACACAGGGCGACAAAATGCGTTTGCTTTACGGTCACAGTCCAGCCATGCTATATGTCGGCACTCAAGTACACACATCTTCTCCCCATTTGGAGAGCCTCCTAAGACCTACAATCGGTCTTCCTGCTGGACAGAATTCCTTTCAAACATCAGTTAACTGTGCTTTTACTCGGCAGTCTAGAGACTACTGTTTGGAGCCTAGCTATCTGAGAGTACAAAAACACAGGCATATGAAGAAATGAATGAATACTGTTTCACAAATGAACGTCCCATAAACAGAAACAGAAAATCCATTTTGCTTCATGATTGATGCCAATGAAGGAAAGCAATTACCCTAGAAACACAAAAGGAGTAAAGGGAGGGAAATAGGGAAATGAACGCCCACATGATCTTACCCAGGCCCTGATTCTGCTGTTCCCACTCGATGGCATCTGGCACCTGGTAGGTGGCTCCTCCCAAGGTGCCCAGGTTTCTCTGCTCTAAACCAGGTTCCTGGGAGGTGATGCCAGGGAGGGTAAACCCAGGCAGCTCAGTATCACTGTCCAAGCTCTCATCAAGTGAGTCTGTATCCTTATCTTCCTCATCTTCCTCCTCATCTTCCTCTTCTTCATCTTCATCCTCTTCATCCTCATCTTCTTCTCCCTCTAGGCAAAAAGATACCAAAAGGGAAAACATTAAGAAATATAGTAAGTATATGCTCACACAAGTGAATCTTTTGAAATGATCCAAACAATATAAAGTAACCATACTCAGCTTTTTCAAACACATTTTCTGACTAAAGTCATGTGATGTGGGCTTTGTTGCATGATGAGTTCCACTAGATATCTTACCTCTTAAACTTTCAAAATCATTATGTCAGATAACTATCACACATCGTGTTTATTAGAAGCTAAATTTCATGTGATATAAATTGTAATTAAAGTCATATTTACATAATCAGGAAATAGCCCTTCTTAAAGATTTTACTTTACAGAACTCAGTGAAATACTAACAGAACTTAAAGGGAGTTGTTCCAATCCCTTTATATCTTATATGGTATTATTTTATCATGGTTTTCGGTATCCTTCAACATCTGTGAATAAAATAGCAAATGAAGGCTACTCAAATTCACTCTTAGATCCTGTTTTCCTTAGACCCAAAAGACTGGAAACAATTATATCAACTTTTTCCATACACCTCTAAAGGGAAATGGGATATTGATCAGCACAGTTAGAAATGCAACAATTAGAATGATCATTACCATCATCATAAGAGTTAACATGTACAATTGGCCATTCACAATACCTCAAGTGGAATGCATTTAGGGAACATTGCTGCTGTGTCTGTTCACTAGATTCCATGAACAGTAACCTCACGTAATACAGGAGGACGGCCCCAGAGGGTTTCCTAGGCTATAATCTTTGTGGTAACAGATTGCCAGTTCTTTTCCCAAAGAGATGCTAGAGGGTTCAACCATCAACCTTTCAGTTCGTAGCTAAGCATTTAACCATTCATTGTGCCACCAAGAAACATAAGATCCCCACTGTCATTCTTTTTCACCAATGTTAAGCCCTGGTGGTGCAGTAGGATAAGCAAGGTTAGCAGTTCAAACCCACCAGCCACTCCACAGGAGAAAGATGAGACTTTTTGCTCCCGTAAAGATTTATAACTTTGAAAACCCTGTATAGCATCTCTATGAGTAAATCAACTTAATGACACTTGTTGCAGTCGTTAAATGCAGTCGAGTTGGTTCCAACTCATAGTGACCCTGTATAGGGTTTCCAAGGAGTGACGGGTGAGTTTGAACCACCAACCTTGTGGTTCAAACTGACCTTGAAGTCCAATGCTTATCCTACAGAGCCACACCAGGACTGGGTCTGACTTTATGTAGGAAGACTTCATGACCCAATTCTCACCATAGATGCAACCCTGAGTTCCTTGATAGGAGCCATTAAGTTTATTGAAGATCTACCTTCCCTCTGGTTGGTCCCTTTGATTCTCAACACAGGATTTCTATAGCAGGAAACTCTCCACATATGATAGAGAATGGAGTGGAGGAGGGAGGACTGAAGCCATTCAAGAATTTTGAGACTCTGAGGGACACTAAGGTCAAATGATATCACATAGTCCATAAAGACATTGTTCCACATCCTACTTTGGTGAGTAGTGACAGGAGTTGTAAAAGCTCACAAGCAACTGTCTAAGGTATACTATTGGCCTCTCTCCATCTGGAGCCAAGAGTGAAGAACATTGAAGGCACATGGAAACAATTAGTCCACTGGACCAACATTCCTCTTGTTGTTGATAAGTATCATTGAGTCTACTCCAATAGAAAGCAACCCTGTACAGGATTTCCAAGAAGCAGCTTGTAGATATGAGCCACCTACCTTGTAGCTAGCAGTCCAGTGCTTATCCTTACAGCACTACTTCAGGACTAATAGACCACAGGAACTTGAACTCCACAACTCTGAGACTAGAAAAGCTAGATAGCACCTGGCTACCAGTACCAACCCCTCTGAAAGGGATCACATTAGAAGGTCCTGGATATAGTGGGAGACAAATGTAGAACAAAACTCAAAATCATTTTTAAAAGACTAGGTGTACTGGTTGGACAGAGAATGCTGGGATCCCTATGGGCATTGGTTATCATTCAGACTTGGAACTAAATTCACCTCAATGGCTCAAGCTTCAGTCAAACAATTAACAGGTCTAAAAGGGAACAATAACACTAGGGAAATACATACTCCTTATAATAATCAACCATTTGTGATCAAAAAGGCAGCATCTATCTGTCCAAGGACAAAGTTCAGAAGGCAGGAAAGGAGAAGGAATGGAATCAGAAAACACAGGGAAGCATTTGGGATAAGTTACATTGTGGGGACAACAATCAATGATATATAACAAAATGTGTATTCACTGTGGACTGGAAAACTGATTTGCTCAGTAAGCCTTCATGTAATTTATGATAAAAGCTAAAAAAATTTTTAAATATAAATAATTTTGAGATTCTCCTCTTCTGCTTCTTGACAATTTTCTCCACACATGCTCTTTTTGTGTGGGGAAATTCCATTAACATTTAATTCCATTTTCCACAAACTTTTTGAATCTCCCTCATACGTCCTTTACCATTTTATGTTCCAAAAATTCAACAAATATTTTTTACGTACCTAACAGGTGCCTCTCCAGGGACTGGGGGTTTAGTTTTTGCCTTCATGGAGACAATATTATACTCAGGTAGGTAAACAAATAGATACACAAATTGTTCTTGTTAGGTGCCATCGATCTGGTTCTGACTCATAGCGACCCTACGCACAACAGAAAGAAACACCGCCTGGTCCTGGGCCAACCTCACAATTGTCGCCACGCTTTATTTTAGCCCATTGATGTTGCCACTTTGCCAATCCATCTCGCTGGGGGTCTTCCTCTTTTTCTCTGACCCTCCACCTTACCAAACACAATATCCTTCTCCAGCGACTGGTCCCTCCTGACAATATGTCCAAAGTATGAGAGACGAAGTTTGGCCATCCTGGCCTCCAAGGAGCACTCTGGCTGCACTTCTTCCAACACAGATCTGTTGGTTCTTTTGGCAGCCCATGGCACTTTCAATATTCTCCTCCAACACCATAGCTCAAAAACAGGCATATAAAAAAATATTACACTGTGATTAAAACTGGCAAGAAGACAAATGACCAGAAAATAAAAAACCCCAAAACATTGCCAATAAGTCCATTTCAATTCACAGCCCCCCTGTAGGAGAGAGTAGAATTGCCCCCAAAGGGTTTTCTAGTCTGTAATCTTTACAGGTCTTTTGTCCCACGAAGCAGCAGGAAGGTTTAAATAGCCAACCTTTCTATCAGCAACCAAGCACTTACCCACTGTACCATCAGGTTCCTTACAGATAATCATGGGTACAGCTCTTTTAGATGAGCTCAGAGAAGGCTTTTTTGATAAGGCAAATAAACAGAGACTGCACCAAAATACTGAATTCTCTTATTTAATTTAGGTCAACATATACAGGAAGAAGAAAAAGCAAAGGCAAAGTCGTTGAGGCAAGTGTGTGCTTGTTGTGTTAAAAGAATGGGCAGCGGAAGGGCAGGAGGGAGAGAATTAAAAACGAACAAGAAGGAGTAGGCAAGAGCTAGACCCATAGGCCCGTTGTTGTTGTTGTTGTTAAGTGTCATTGCGTCAGTTCCGATTCATAGCTACACTGTACAGGGTTTCTGAGGAGCAGAAAGTCTCATCTTTCTCCAGTGGAGTGACTAGTAGGCTCAAATTGCCAATCTTGTGATTTGCAGTCCAGTGTTTATCCTATAGCACCACTGTGCTCTCCCCTTTGTTGTTGTTGTTGTTGTTGTTGTTAAAAGTGTCGACTCATAGGAACTTTGCATAGGGTTTCCAAGGAGTGGCTGGTGAGCTTAAACAGCCAACCTTGTGGTTCAAACCGACAGCTCATTAACCCACAGTACCACCCCAGGACTCCTTTCCCTTAGCCTTTGGGTATTATTTTATTTTTTGTTTTGTTTTGTTTCATATGTATTGTAAGAGTGACATAAAAACGTGAGAAAGCACTGAAACTAAAATTTTAGGACAATAAATGTATGAATGAGATGACAAATTTTAAATAGGAAATTAAACCCAGCAATATACTGAAAGAATATCACAACAAAACCCAGTAGAGTTTATAATTCAAAAAATGGTTCACCAGAAGGAAATCTAAAAACACAATTCTTAATTCAATTAAAGGAGGAAAAGCTAAATAATGATATCTATCAATTCTAAAGCACCTGATAAAACTTGGAAGACAGTTTTAAACAAAAACTCTACTCCAGCTTAGACAGAAAGACACTTTCTAAATATGGTAAAGAGTTTGAGCAAATATATTCAGCGGTAAAATAATAAAGTCACTTTCATTAAATCATAGATAAGAAAGAATGCCCATTATCAGCAGCATTATCCAACATTGTTTAAAGTATCCAGAAAATTGAAAGTAAAAAGTATGAGAGGACTTCTGGAAAAAGATGGCAGATCAGTTGGAAGTGTAGTGATGAGCTCTGCCGAGAACAACACAGAATACAGGAACAAGAAGGCTCAGGGAATGGTCCCAGTACT